ATAACCGTCTCAGTGAATATTTGATTAAAGAAGGATATACAAATGATCCTATTAGTCCATGTGTTTTCATTCAGCGATCCGAATCAGGATTCGCCATGATTGCAGTATATGTTGATTGTTTAATCATTATTGAAACTCCCATTGAAATTGAAAATACTGCAAAATATCTCATGAAAGAATTTGAAATGAAAGGTATTGGGAGGACAAAATTTTTTCTCGTCATTCAAATTGAACATTTGAGAAATGGTATTTTTATTCACCAATCAAAATATACCAAGAAACTTTTGAAGCGGTTTTACATGAATAAACCATACCCGCTCAATTTTTCAATAATGTTTCGATCTCTCAATATGAATGATGATTTTTCCGACCTTGTGAATGTGATGAATAAAACCTTGGTCGTAAAATAATATATTTGAATGCTAGATATTTGAAGCATTAATGTATTTGGCTAATCTAATACTTGACTAGATATTTCTAGCTTTTTCTATAAATTTGTTAGCCAGATATAACGCAGGTCAAAGGACGTTACATCAAAGGGGAGAGAACAAAGCGTACGACAACAAAACTTTTCTCCACACATGATTATGAGAAACAAGGAACGGTTGATGTCAAACAAATCAAGTCCTGTGACAATCCTGCTGATTTATTCACAAAATACTTGGAACTGAAGAAATTCGAAGAACTTGTCCACAAAATTGGAATGTATCGTCTTCCAGATATATGTTAAATTGAGGGGGAGTAATATAATGCACTGCACTCTTTTTCCCTTCGTCAGGATTTTTTTTTTCCCACTGGGTTTTTTCTTGACAAGGTTTTTAACGAGACAGTACATTATAATACTATGAAACTAATACCCCAGAATAATTAGAAGATGACCATTCAAGGGGGAGTGTTGAAATATTATTGAATTAGTGATCTTCCAACTATTCCTGATTAGGAATTATTATCACCATTATATAAATAATCAGGAAATCATAATTATGATTCTAGATGATAATTGTGTGGTTCACAATTATCCTCTAATCCTATGAAGCTTAACCTTTCTCCTATAAATAGGAGGCTTCTCCATCTTTTATTATACAAAGCCAAAATGAAATCTGTACAGTGTTCCCGCCCAAACACTGTACAGTGACGGGCCAGGTTGATTTTCCATGGGTTTAGAAACTGGTCTGAAGGAAGGCCGAATGCTGTGCACTGTGCTTAAATTACGGCCCATTATCCCAATGCTTCTGATCTGTCTTATTTGGTCAATTTTTGTTGGCTGATATGACCTTTTTCGTGGCTCAATAAAGACCCGTCAGTGTTTAAGCTCATGGCTCCATAAAAACAATAAATGCTATGTAATTCAAGTCGTAAAAAAACCGGGATGTGGCCCCATATGTTTAAGCAAGCACAGGGCTCCATACAAAGCATTAAAAGGAGCACACACAACATTAAATGGAGTGTACTTTCATATCTTAAAAATACTTTTAATATACAAAAAAAATGTGAGGCTGAAAAGAACAATTAATGCGTACAACAACATCCAAATTTCCATTGGTTAATACATAATGGTTACTAGATCTTCAGGAGCTATAAATACCACTTGATTTGGGAGTTTCACACCACAGCCCCATCCAAACTACTTGGCAAATTAGCAATTCCGATCAGGTATCACCTTCAAACTTCTTTAAGGAAATATACAACTGCAGTTCATTGCTGGTAGTGTTTATCTAAGGTTAATATTTATATTTATATTTAAATATATTTACAGGAAGGGCCGATTTATACCTCAGTGAAAAGGCCACAATCAAGTTGGTAAGTAAAGGTAAAAAAACAAGACAAGGTTAAATACGAAGTGTATATTTTGTGTAAAAAGTTATGCATTTTTGCAGTTTTTAGGCTTTTAAGTATAAAAAATATGCAAGCTTTTTTTTAATCATAAACAAGAGGTTTTATAAGTTTTAAACAATACTCCAATACATAATGGGGTTCTTAGCCATGTATGCTCAATGCTCTTTGAGGGGATTATATTTCCAATACGAAAAGGTAACAAATAGCAACAATCATTATGCATTTTAAAAAGCCTAACAAAAATGGATTTCACAGAACATCATATGAAGAAATTAATATGATCATGAACTTGAAATGCAGAACCGAAAATGGTAAATGTTTTGAGCTACAAAAACGGAATGCGCCCTATTTGAGTGCTTTCTTATACTTAAAAGAACTTATTACAAGATTTAACAATGACTATATTTGTGTTAGGGAAATGATCTTCTACTTTTAATGCAACAACCAAAGGGCCACAACAAGGATTATACCAGACAATGGAAAATGATCTTCTACTTTTAATCACCAATCTATAAAATAATGCACTCACAGTTTTAGAGGTTAAATATTAATCTATGTATAGATCAAAATCGTAGGTAAAAAAGTATAATTATTAGGGTACGTATAGTTAAAAATGTAGGAGTGTTAAAATGGATTAAAAGCATTCTTTTAACTGTTTAAATTACACATGCGTAAAAATATAGCCACAACGCTTTTTTAGTTCAGAACAAATAGTAGATAAATAATTAGTTCAAAAAACTTGAATGTATTTATGTAACATACACTTTAATGTCTCAATGTTCATATCCAGAAATCTGTATACTCTATATACACTATTACATTTATTCTTCAACAATCATCATATATGAACAACAAAACATGTTTTGGACATTCAATGCTTTATCACGACAATATTATTCTAAATTCACTTATGTATGACATGTATCTATTGGAGATCTCATTGATTTGAGATATCACTAAAGTAATGTCATATAAGTGTGGAATAATTTATTTACCGACCAGAAAGATCTGGGTGTAATTTATCTCGGTGTAAAAAAATAGATCTCGGCAAATCTATATACTCACTCCAAAAAAATTAGAGATTAAGTGAACTTAATAAATCTGCTCAACATCATTTTTTCTAAAAATAATTACACATTTAGTGAACAATATAAATCGGTTATAGATACTTTGTATTGGAAAAAAATACGTTTAACGCTATTTGTACCCGGTCCGATTCAGAACGACATGCACAGAAAAAAAACGTACAAGGATAAAATTTCAAGAACAGAGACGAAAGGGATATACCGAGATCTCGAAGATAGTAGACATGGACTGAGATCATTTGATTATCCTTCAGCCATTGCAACTATTTCGGTTGTCGGGTAAGGTAAACATGAAACAAAAAATATGAATCGACAAAATGAACATCGATATCGTCATATTAGCGGCGAACAATTGACTTCAACCATCTCTTGAAGAAGGCTTGAAGGACCAATTTCGGAAGATATGGCCGAAAATCTAGAGTGACAACGAAAATAAAATCCATCCGAAAAATGAAGGATTGTCTAGAGTACGTGTACGGACAAATGTGGAGGCTGGGGGAGATAAATAGATTATATAGAGCTATGTTAGGTTTGGGTAGTTGGGTAGGATGTAAATATCATATTGGGTTGGGTTAAATGGGCTGGCTAGGATGGGTGATAAACTTATATGGGCTGGCTACGGGAGGTTTTTTTTATCGAAGCTGCGGGAGGATTATTATGTATTGGCTGGGATATTATTTGATATTTAATTATTTATTTATGAAATTAGTAATTATTAAATTAGTTGTATCATAACAGTAAAAAAAATTAGTTGTATCATATACAAAGTATTATTTCCAGAGTTATTATTATTATTTTTATTCAAGTTCATTAATGATAAATCATGTTTTTAAAAATAAGTATTCATTGGTTCTAATAATTTGTCATTTATTTTAAATAATCTTATGGGATATAATTTAGGGTCTGTTTGCAACAGCTTCTGCTTTTAAAAAAGTGCTTTTTTAAATGAAATGGGGAGAAGTGATTAAATAAAAGTTGATAGTGTTTGAGAAAAAAGTGATTTTGAAAAGTAAAAGTGGGTAGTGTTTGGTAAAATAAGTGCTTTTTGTGTAATAGAAAAAGTAAAAGCACTTTTGACGCGGGAAGCCGAGAAAAATAAAAGTTGTAGTGTTTGGAAAAATAAGTGCTTTTTTAAAGCCAAAAGCTGAGAAGTGCTTTTTTAAAAGGAGTTGCAAACCAACCCTTATTCTAATATGTTATGATATTGAACAGAAAATTGTGATCCCGATAAAATTATCAAATTACTAATTAGTTTTATGTTGTTATTATTATTGTTATTACAACTAATATGTTAGTATTGTATTATTATCATAATATTGCTATTAGTATATTACTATGATATTGTTAAATACCACCACATAACATTTGCAAGCAAAATATTTATGAGCCGTGGGTATCTTTTTCTTAATTAAAATTCCTCCTTATTTGGACGAATCTTATCTAATATTCACTTATTTCTTTTGATTCAGGGGCAGAGCCAGGACACTGGACCATATTGAGCTGATACAAATAATATTTTTGAAAAAAAATACACATAATTTTTTCACTTAAAACTTAAACATTTTTAAAATTTGGGATTGGCCGGGGTCAAGGTTGGTCCTCCCCTAGCTCCGCCCCTATAAGGAAGTTCATAAGGAAGTTTTTCGCAATGTATAGATTGTGAAATCTTAGTTTAGATTACATTTCGTTATTTCTACTTATTCTAAAACATACTTACTATCTATCTTTGAGTTTTCACTATCCGTTCTTCAATTACTCCGTATAATTTATTATACATGTTACGTCAATGACAATTTACATTTATTTCACACAACCAAGTAATATTTACAAATAATATCATATCACATTATCGCTATTATTACATTTTAATATCTCGCGCATCGCGCGGGTGAGAATCTAGTTGTAATTAACACACCATGGTTACACCATTATCACACTTCTAATAACATCTTCCTCACTAAGAATTCAGACTATACTTTCTCTCTCTGATCTTCTGCTTATTTCCTTCCATTTTATAACAGTAGCCGATTTATATACTATCTACTACGTATTAAGAAAGAGATTTTAAATTAGGATAGTTTCGAGTGTTTTGACGGGAAAGTCCACGGGAATTCCAAATTCAAAAGGATCCCCGAGCCCAGTCAACAAAATTTGCTTCCCCGCTTCGGCAGTCTGGTTTCGCGGCTGACCTCTGTGCAGACCGAGAAGAAGAGGCAGTTGCGGAGAAAAAGCAAATGTTTCGATCGTCTACTTCCGACTCTAGCAATGGCTACCACTACGACTTAGAGGACAGCAGGCTAGTTGCCGGTCGTCGCTTGCGAAGGTGCCGGGGCAGACAACGCGCCCATGGAAATGGTAACGTCGAGGGTGGGGCTAGGGTTTCTCATTGGCAGCACCAGCAGCAAGATGAAGTAGAAAGGCCTGCCCCCCCTTGTACGGATTTCGACAAGGCATACTTTCACTCATATGCCCATGTTGGCATTCATGAAGAAATGATTAAGGTGATGGACATCTCCTCTCTATCTCTGTCGGTATATAATGTAGTTATACTCTCTCCCTGACTCCCCATTTATGAAGTACTTCTCCAATGCCGGGTTTAACTTTTGGAAAAATAAACCTCTAACTAAACATTCTTTGTAATTTGTGCTGACCGAAAATGTGTATTCAAGCATTTCTTATCCGTTTGCATTAATGGAGATTTGGAGATAGCTTATTTTCCGTCCCATTGCGATCCTCTGGACCAAGGAAAAAGAAAAGAATGTTCTTCAAAAGGAAAGCACAAAACTTGGAAAGAAATGATCCTCCAAAAAGAATCAAGACATGCCTAAAATCAAGAAGCTGACAAGAAAACGTGCCTGTGTGTATTTTTCTATGGATAATATGCATCTGACTGTATGTATCCTTACACTATTACACAGGATTGCGCTCGGACAGAGGGTTATAGGAATGCTATCTTTCAGCACCAGAGTTACATAACTGGAAAAGTAAGACCAAATTCTCAGGGTTTATTTCTATGCTCAAAGACAGTATTTTGAGATTCATTATTGACATTTATTACCAGTTTGGTTCAGTATGAATAAATTGTTTCTCCAAACGTGTAATCTCTCCATTTTTTTTCTTTTCATATTCTTGTTCAGTAAAGTTTGTTATATACCTTTGTCTTTTACAATTACACCTTTTCTTATGATATCTGGTTTTGATTGAATTTCCAGGTTGTAGTTGATGTTGGATGTGGCACAGGTATTCTCTCTATATTTTGCGCTCAAGCCGGTGCAAGACGGGTAAGACTGCTTGCTGTTACTTCAATAAGCTTGTAAAATGATCTGTGCTGTGCCATTTGGACGAGTATTTACCTTATCAGTTATCAATTGGACAAGTAGCTCATATATGATTTTTTGCATCAAAGTATTTTGTTTATATATGCACCTAGGGTTGTTTAAGTGATCCTTTCTTCAACACAGCCTTGACAAATGTTATAGAAAAGCTGTTGCAATGCAACCAACAATTGTTGGGTTAATAATTATTTGTTTTCGTGAGTTGATGCCTTGAAGGTTTAACATTTAACACTTTTATACTTAGCTGGAGTTTTAGGAGATCTAAAAATAACTTTTTCAATGCACAAAGCTTCGGTGCAGGCATTGCCATGTCTGTGATGAAAGCAAAAAGCATGCTTGGTACCTACAAGCTTCTTAAATTGTTGATACTTCTTTGAACTGTACCAAAATATTCAATTTTTTAGTAGTTGTCTATTATCTATTCACTTTGACCAATCAAATGTTATAAACAAGATAACAATTTGTTCGGTCATGTAAATTGGATGGAAGCCTCTTCTTTCCTCAGTGGTACAAGTGTAAAGTAACCAATCCAACATAATATTCACTTACAATTACCACATTATTTCAATTCCATATGCAGAATTCACTTAGGGGGGGGGGGTGTCCCCAGTATGGATTCTTACGGATTTTAAAGGATTTTAGAATTCCATCGGAATTTAGGTGTTCTCGATTCGGATTTGGACGGAGTCTATGAAAATTCTGGTGTCCTCAAACATTCTATGGATTTCTATTATTATTTGTTTGGATGGATTTTAATAGATTTCCATGGAATTCAACATAGAAAACATTCCGCATGAAATCTCACGCACACCCCTCAGATTTCATAATCCTTGTATGAAAGAAAAGAAATAACAGATCGACAAAGAGAAGTGTGTGGAAGAGAGATCAACCGGCCACTTCGCTGGAGCTGTAGGGCGGTTGACCAGACTTCCATGTTCATCGGCGGAGAAGGTTGGCCACTGCAGGTTGTCTGGATCTTGGGCACGAACAGAATTTCATTGGAGCAGTTAACTGATTTTCGTTGTTGGAAACGATGAAGAAGGTCCGAAGGTCACTCGCAGACCGTGATCTTTTCATATTTCGGGCTGTATATATGCCATTTACAGTCTATAGTTCAGATAATGATAATATTGAGATTTGCAAGGAGATGAGCTTACGAACGAACATAGATAGGCAAGAGCACTTTTGCTGTAGGTATTGTTAGGGGATATGGAGAAGGCCTACTGCCGTAGCCATTTGTCAAGTAGTAAGGAATAATGATAGAGATAGAGTCTATAAATCCAAATAATTCCTTGATTTTGAAATCCATAGCATTCCACAATAAAATCCATGGAATTTGTAGAACTCCATTCAAATCCATAAAGTCCACTATCTTTTAAAATCCATCAAATCAATGTTGGGGACACCCCCCTTAAAGTCATGCTTGTTTTTTTACATTGAAATATGCAGTTATAAAACTATATTTGTGAAAAAATTAAGATGTAACTTGGTTATAAATTATTGATATATTCTTTATTGGATAGTAACAAAAAATTATGACACAGTGAATAATATCTACTCCTAATAGCCGTTATTAATCAGCTATTTTGACACCCAGGTATATGCAGTAGATGCCAGTGATATAGCTATACAGGTACATTTTCTTTCTAGTATCTATGTATTAGTGAGCATTCTATGCATGCCCCATTGCCCCTCTGTCTGATTGGTCTTGCTCTTTGACTGTGATGAGTGTGAAAATGAGTGGGTGCAATGTTGCTCCCTGATGTAGTCACGTGGCCCAAAAAATGTAGTGAAATGTTTTGCTGTTCAACCTCTAATTCTAACACATTTACCCCCTTTTCCGTATGTATAATACTACGTAATATGTTTATAGGAAAATACTGAAGGCCACAGTTTTGGACTAAATTCAGTAAAGTACCAATTGTAATAGCCTTGAGAACTGTTTAATTGGACAATTGCTAACTCAAATTTTTAGTAACACCCATGTATGGGGCTTTTACTTCAAAAAAATTAAAGCTCAGTCCATATGCATCTATTGTATTTTATTTAACCATTTATTATTTGCATCTATTGATTGTTTAGTGAACACCTCATTTAGACACTAAAGTGAAAGTTATACATTCAATATCCATATATTCAGTCCACATGCACTATCAGACTATTAGTCAATTAGCTGATTGTATGGTTGCATTAATTTTTTGGATTTCTGTTATGTACGAGTGTGTTCATTTCTGTAATGTAATAAGCGTATCACTTAGCTGAATGTATGAATCTGATCATTTCTGTTATGTAATAAGCCCATGCCTGTTCATTTAGACTAGTAATTCGTCCAAACTGTTTCACTCTTTAAGTTCCATTTGACCATTTCTTTTCAACCATTTTACTTGTATCAAGAAATTTGTAAGCAACAAGTAAATATCATATAAATATAACACTGTAACATTAAACTTCACTCTGTTTATATCTTCTGTTGAATGACTAATCAGGCGAATGAGGTTGTGAAGGCCAATAACTTATCTGACACAATCATTGTTCTCCATGGGAGGATTGAGGTATGGATTTTTCAAATGTGTGAATTTTAATCCTTGGGAAAGACTGGTGCACCTAATGTGTTCCCTGTATGTAATTTTAGAACCGTCAATATAACTTGACACAAGCCTAGCTGTTTTTTCTTCAAAAAACAATGTTCCTAATGTAGGGACTAGGGAGAAATCAGAAATGTGCAAAAATTCTTAAATGGGAGTATATATTGACATTCTTTTAATTAAAAATGCATGGATTTGTTCATAATCATCACCGTGCATTTCAATGCGATGTTGTTGGGCACTTGGGCCTTGTGACATGAATTATATAGCGTCGCGTAATTATTTAGTATTAATTCAGAGTACAATATCAAGTCAAAGACATTTTGACAAAGTTATATGCAGGAAATCCTTGTTTCTCAACCTTCTCGCGAAGGAATAATATCATCATACAAAACAAATTTCAAAAATTTTAAATAGACTAAAAGGTAAAAGAAAATTTAGGGGGTAAACTGTCAATTTGGTCCTCGTACTTTCATGAAAAAGTCAATTAGGTCCTCGTACTTTTAAAATAATCAATCAAATCCCCGAACTTTGTAAAAACGTTCAATTGAGTACATTTGCATGCTACTTGTCATGTCAGCAGGTCACCCAATGACGTGGCGCACACATGGTGGTCCACGTGCATGCCACGTCATCAACAAATGGCTGACTGGACTTCCACATGTGTGCCACGTTAGCAAATTTTTGCTGATTGGGTTGCCACATGTGCGCCACGTCAACAGGTGACCTGCTGACACGACATGTAACCTGCAGATGGACTCAATTGAACGTTTTTACAAAGTTCGGGGATTTGATTGATCTTTTTAAAAGTACGAGGACCTAATTGACTTTTTCGTGAATGTACGGGGACCAAATTGACAGTTTTTCCCAAAATTAAGGTGAAAAGTTGTTGTTTGACCATTTTAACCTAAAAAAGTAAGAAAAATAGGATGAGTCCACAAAAAAGTAAAAGGTGAAATGATGGGTAAAGGGATGAAATGGGAAAGTAAAAAGATCGTAGAATTCAATTTTGGAAAGTGTTCATATTTTGGGATAATCCAAAAAAGAAAGTGTATATTACAAAATAGGACGGATGGAGTATTGTGTTTTTCTTTATGCAATTTCCAAAAATCTTATTTTTCACTACCTCCATCTTGGCATAAGCTTCTCATTCAAAATTGGCACGGTTATTTAGGATGTTTTAATTGGATTTTTTTCAGTCCCAAATTAGATCAGAGTATCAGACAAAACATCGGCAGTTGTAATAAAATACACATAAAACATATATCTTCCAGACCGGTGTAGTAAAAATCGCTCGCTTGAGTGCTTAAGTGCACCAGGCAAGGCGTTGAACATGGGTAACACCTTAATATTTACAAGGCGAAGTGATATGCTTCAGGCGCAAACAAAGCGCAATAAGCAGCATAGGCGTAAAAGTGCACGCCTGTCGCCCTCTCGCCCTGGGCTGGGAAAGGCTTCTAAGTAGGCCTGTGGCTTGGAATCGTAAAACCGGGAAAACCGACCCGACCCGAACCAAATTATCCAGTTCGGTACCTATATTTTTAGACTTCTGCTTTTGTCGGTTCGCTTCCTATAGTATTTGACCGGTTCCTATTTGCATGAGTAATCTTCTTTTGAGGTGCTTCTGAGTGGAACTTTTTGATGAAATTTTGTTAGCTTGTTTTTCATAAAGTTTAGATTATGTCACCAAATTTTTGCTTAAAATTCAATGTAGAAGTCAGTTAAATAAATTATTGAAATACATTACACCAAACTAAATCTAAAAACACAATGTTTTTCAATAATTTATTTAACTCACTCCCGATTGATTTTTAAGCTGAAATTTGGTGGGTATAATCTACATTTCATGTATAACATGCTCACAAACTCATAAAAAATTCTACCTGGAAGCACCTCAAATGGTGGTGAGACTGCGTTTTGGTCAGGAAATTCTAGAGAAAAATACTTGTCTTGCATAATATACCTTATATAGTGTGGACTAGGTGTCTAGGCCTAGGCCAATCCGAGTAGTTGTTATTTTACTACTTTAATCCACTTTTATATTTATAGTTTGTTTGTAATTGTATTTGTTATTTGAGTCCACCTCAAAAATGAATTAATGTTGCTGCTGATTACATTGTTATTAGCGGTCAGATTTTTACAACGTACTTTTTACTTATTGTGATATACTAATATAAGAATATTGTTTTGGGGTTGAACTACCTGCTATTGGATATGTACCTTGGAGTCATTAAACCTTTTTGTTTGGCATTTGATGCCTAATTTTAACCTTTACGTTTTTGTTATGTTTAAGTTTAATGTTTACACTTGGATATTTTTGTGATATATAAACATTAGGATATCATGTATGTATAATGTAATGATCATAACTTCGATAATGATTTTCATGATTTGAAATATGAATATTTTTATTTAACTGAAAGGTAAAATGTGTTAATTTTAGGAGGATGATAATTTTTTGTAAGGAGCCGAAAAAGGTAAGAACCAAACCGAATTTAACTAGAACCGGACCGAATTTGATAACTACTTTTTTTTACTTGAACCGAACCAAATTTAACAACTACTTTTTTTTACTAGAACCGAACCGAACCGAACCGAATTTAACACCTACAATTTTTAATACAGATCTATCGAATTCTAAGATTAGGTCCTATTTTAAATAAACCCATATTTCGTAATTAGATATAGCTTGTCCAAATAATAGGGCAAAGCAACATAAACACTTCATAGTAGGTGTATTAAAGAAAGTATACCGAAACAGCAAAACTATACTAATAAAAACTTCCTACTGCGTTCGACTCACACTCCACATAAATGGTAAAACGGTGTCAAAGGAAGAAAAAAGGGATTGGCAGACAGAGGTGAAATGGCTACTTTTTTAAGAAGTAACGTCCTTTTTCTTTTAATTATATTTCTTCTTTCTGTTTTCATCTTCTTCTATCTTTTCATTTAAAAGTCTATATCTTCATTTTTATTTTATTTTGTTTTTTTCTTTTCTAGAATTATTTATTTATTTATTTATTTATTTATTTATTTATTTATTTATTTATTTATTTATTTATTTATTTATTTATTTATTTATTTATTTATTTATTTGTTTGTTTATTTATTTATACTTTATATATATGGAGTGTGGAACTTCAAGAGTTTCCAGGAATGCTGAAACTAATATTGCTAAAAGAATATGGTCTCCTCTTTTAATGATGAATGATACTTGAGAGTTTTGACTTGAGAATTGTGCTAGAATATAACTGAATTTAGGTTTTAGTCTTTTTATTTAAGACTTAAAAGTTATGACTTCTGAATTGGTGTCATGTTAGTACGAATCATGACTTTGTTTTTGTGAGTATGACCAAATATATTAATTGTCAAATTTGTATGTTGTCAAACATGAGAGTCAAACTGTTGTAACAAAAAACGGTTTGTGGTGGGAGGGGTGTTGCCATTAATTTAAGCATGTGCGCTGTGGATGTCTATTGTAGCATTTGTTCTTGTGGTGAGGTCTAAACACAACCATAATGCCCTTTAGTGATTCCAAAAGACATACTCCCTCCGTCCCATTTATATTGTCCCGTTTTACCATTTCGGGAAGTCCCACTTAAATTGTCCCATACCATATTTGGTAAAGTTTGTGTGGCTCAAAATCATTCTTACTTTATTCTTACTTTATCAATTAATATCAACCACACAAACCCACTTTTCTTAAAACTCGTGCCACCCTCTTCCGTCCCAATATAAAAGGGACGGAGGTAGTGGTTACTAGAGCCCAAGAAAGGGAGATCCAACTCTCCATGGCTTCTTCATATGTTAGAGGCATGTAGAATCAAAGAAAGGAATGAACACTAAAGGACTTAAAGTTTGATTGGGAGGCCCAATAATAGTGTCCAATTTTAATAATGTACTCCATATCAATGTCCACAGTTCAAGGAGAACTGACCTTTAATTTCAGTACCAGCTAAAATGATGTGAATTTTGAGACGTGGATGAGCTGAGTTTCAACTTCAAATTCCCAAATAACGCCATGTATTGAATTTTCATTAAGACATCAAGTATTTTTTTATGTACAAAATGGGCCACCAACAGCAAAACTATATCCCATATAACATTAACTTTATTATCTAATGTGTGCATAGTTAGAACATCTGTGTATTATTAGTTTGCCTATGTAATTTTAGTAACATTAGATTATATGAGTTCATCCATGCTGAGTTTTTTGCAGGATGTTGAGATAGATGAAGAGGTTGATGTTATAATTTCAGAATGGATGGGTTACATGCTTCTCTATGAGGTAACATTACAAACATGCAGATGCTGTCGTGCTATATATTCTTTGTTAACTCTACATGATGTAATGTCCTATCTCTTATGATTGCAAATTTGCAATACCCTCTATATGTATCTTTTGTATAAAATGACAATTTTGTTTATCTTCTCTTTAGAGCATGCTGGCCAGTGTTATAACCGCTAGAGACCGTTGGCTGAAACCGGGTGGTCTTATTCTTCCATCAAGCGCAACGGTATTCACGTTTTATTCTTTTATTCCTATCTGGGTATCCTACAATTTTATACTCCCTTTGCCCCTTTTATTCTCCACTTTTAACTTGGCACCATTTTCAAGAAAATGCAAACAGCGTAGCTGAAAATTATTTAGAAGAGAGAGACGCAATATCAACCACAAAACTGCCTCCTTAAAAATAAAAAGTAGATGATTTAGAGACAAAAAAAGGAAAGAAGGAAGATAAAAAGGAATAGCAGAAGTAATGGCTAATGCCATATTTTAAAAGAAAATATTCTTTGTGTTTTAAGAGCATATTTCCACACAGCGATTACTAGATTATTCACAAAATAGTTTAGCTTACACCAGTCATACCATTGTATTTGCTTCCATTTCTACAGTGAAAAATAATATGCTAGTTTTATCTGCGAGACCTTTTTTCTAGAAAATATGAAGCATGTCTTAGACAATCATCATGCTATGAGTCTAAGAAGCCAAGAGTTGTAGGTTGGAATTTTTGAACATGATTAATGGCTTTTCTATTAGTTATGCTTATGCTTGCATTTAGTTATGCCCATAGGATTTTTAGACCTAGTTTTGAACAAAATTAGACTTGAACATTTAAAATATAAATATACTAGAATATATCGTTTCCCCCAAACCCCAAATATATCATCCTCTCGTTCGTTGTTACATTGATACAAATCTTCTCCAAATACTGTCTTCTCTTCAAATGTTCTCTACATTATCTCAACCAGTCCTCACTCCTCAGTGATTCAGTATAAACTAATCTATTCTTGAGTTGGTCATTTATTCTTTAATGACCAGATGAGTAGACAGTTGCTCTTCCATTCATTTGCTCCCTTTGCAACAGTTGGAGAACACTAAGTTCTCTATTGCACTTGACAACATTTTGCCTTGTTAATTACTACCTCTGTTCCACTAAGACTGGGACATGAGAAAGTGGCACACATTAAAAGATGCAGAATTATGTGGTTGACATGGAATATGTAATGTACGCTAGACTGCTAGAGTAAGAAAGAATTAGATCCGTACATGTATTGCCGAATATGGTATGTGACAAACTTAGTGGGACAGATGAAAAAAGAAAGATTGGGCAAAGATAGTTGGACGGAGGGAGTAAAAAACAATTTAAGATTAAAAACAGTAAACAGTGTAGCCCACCACTACTGAAAAGTGTGTTCAGTAATTAGTAGTTTAAATGAAAAAGCATTTAGTTAAAAAACAGCATGTAGTAAAGTACAGCATTATCTGCTTGTTAATAAACAAATGAAATTATAAAAACAATAGGTAGTGTGGTACTTAATGCCCATTCCAGTGGAAAAATTCCAGTGGACATTACTGTTTTTACTATGTTTTAATTTGTTTATCAAATGGTTTAAGAATTTACCTTTTCATATAAAGGCTATTTAAAATGACGCTTATGCTTTGTTTTCCATAGACAAATGCACGAGACATACAACTGCCGAGACATTGTTAACACTTTCTCTCTCATTTCTGCTCTCTCCAGTTGTATATGGCACCTGTGACAAATCCAGATAGATACAGTGCTAGCATAGATTTTTGGCGCAATGTGTATGGGATAGACAGTGAGTATATGCAGTAAGATTCACATGCATTATGTTCTTTTGAGAATGCATTGAGCTCCACCTCTACTTAACAGAGGGAATTTTGATTGATGATTTTTTATATGGAAGAGTCCATCTCTTGATGATATGCTAGAATCCCCTTTTCTTTGAAATCTCAGTCTTAATTATGATTTCCTGCAGTGTCTGCTATAATGCCATTAGCAAAGCAATGTGCATTTGAAGAACCATCTGTGGAAACGATATCCGGTGAAAATGTATTGACATGGCCCCATGTGGTGAGCCTAGCTCCATTCAATCAGTCAATTCTATCATGTGTTCATTGTGTCAGGAAATTTCATTTCCCTAATGTTAAGCAATTTGGGATTTCATTTCCTTTGTAAATCTGAAGAATTATACTCCCTCCGTATTTTAATGTTCACTACAATAGGTTTGGGCACATTATTTAAGGATGAAATAGTAGGGGTAATGAATAGTGTAGAAAAAGTAAGGGTAATTGAGTATTTTTAAAGGAAAAACTTACCAAAAAGGGAAAGTGTAGCAAACATTTAAATACATCCAAAAAGGAAAGTGTAGCAAATATTAAAATACAGAGAGAGTATGCTTTAAGCTCTATAGACATATGTGGATGAAATTTTCCACTAAATCTTTTGATGCCATACTGATTTTTTCTGCATTTAAAGCTAGCGGAAGCCTTTAGGTACCACTTGTGTAAGACTACTCTTTTGATTTTGGACAATGTTTTAAAAGTCATTAGGGGCTAGTTGGGCGGTTGCTTGTCGCGTAGCTGCTCCTCAAACCTTCCTCTCTATTATTATTGGGTTATGTAATTGTTAATTTTATTTATTCATTCATCGATGTGTTTTTTGGCAATAAAAAGAATTAATTACATATTTATTACATATTTATGATTAAAATGAAGGTTGTTTACAAAAATGTGACTTCTTAAGTGTAGTAACTTATGCTGAACTTTTACACTCAAGTGACCATGACACTGTTGTAATAAGTTTTAGTCGCATTTTTGTAAATGAGTTTCATTTCAGTAATATTTTTGAAACTCCCCTCTAATAAAACGGCTCTTATAATTCCTGAATGTTATGCATTTTGCAAATAATACAACAACAACATCCAAGCCTTAGTCCCAAAAGAGTTTGGGGTCGGCTATCATGAATCAACTTATCAACATATGAAATTGGAGCTAAAAGAAAGTTAAAATCATAAAAAAAAGATAAAAAGACAACATAAAATAAAAACAAAAATGATAAGATAAAAAGATAATGAAGCAATATATACACATATATGTGTATTACTATTATTCTTATATACATCCACTTGGAGAAAAGTTCTCCTCAGGACTTTCTGGCCGGAATTGCCGTCCCGCCGCCGCCATTTGAGATGGTTCCCGGTGGAGTTTTTTGATGAAATTTTGTGAGCATATTCTTCCTGAAGTATAGATTATGTCCACAAAATTTCAGTTTAAAATCAGGAAGTCAGTTAAATAATGAATTGAAAAACAATGCATTTTTATACTCCCTCTGTATTTTTTGTTTGCTGCAATTTTTGTTTGATGCAATAGGTGTTGGCACATTTTTTAAGAGCGAAATAGTAGGGGTAATGAATAGTGTAGAAAAAGTAGGAGAGATGGTGGAAAAGTATGAAAGGGAAGATAAAAAGTAGAAGAAGTAAGGGTAGTTGAGTATTTTTAAAAGAAAAACTTATTAAAAAGGGAAAGAAAGTGTAGCAAATTTTTGAATACATCCAAAAAAGGAAAGTGTAGCAAACAAAAAAATACGGAGGGAGTATATATTTTGGCTTAGTGTTTTTCAATAATTTATTTAACTGACCTCCCGGTCGAATTTTAAGCTGAAATTTTGTGGACATAATCTACACTTCATGAAGAACATGCTCACAAAATCTATTGTTTTATATAGTAAAACACAGTTAAGAAAAGCTGACATGTCACTCTGTTATTGGTCAACAAAAATATATATTATCACTATTTTAAAAGCATTTAATTAATTTCAACAAACCAAAATTTTAGCTCAGATCACCATCTTATCTCACGTCTAACCCACTTAAAGACACATGAAAATAGGACTCAATATACATTTAGTTACCACTAGGAATCAAATTTACGTCTATTTGTTCGATACCAAATAGGAGTCTAATTTGGATATAAATTTAATAAAGATTATTATTAATACGGCTATTAATAAATATTGAAGAAAATTTTGCATTACGAATTAATTAAAACAACTCCCAAATTGAATTAGCAACTTGACAATTTATTGAACAGAAATTGCCCTAAATAGGAGTAAAAACGTTTTGAAATTCCAAAATAGGAGTATCATGTTTTTTATTCCCTGAATAGGAGTAATCTGTCACGTTTGGGAAAAAAATGCCATGTTTAAAGCTTTGTAATGCCAAACCTGGCAGAAATTTACTCCTATTTAGGGAATAAAAAACATGATACTCCTATTTTGGAATTTCAAAACGTTTTTACTCCTATTTAGGGAATTCTCTCATTATTGAAACGTAAGAACAACCCTTTTATTTGGAGTCTTAAAAAAACCTTTTATTTGGAGAATAAGGATGTTTTTAATTGGACTTATTTCAGACTAGATCAAACCATATCAGACCAAACCAGACTAGTTCAAATTACACCAGATTAAATCAGACCAGATCATACCAAGAGATACTTCGACAATTGTAAAATATACATAGACCACACATTTATCAAACCAGAGTAGACTAGAAAATTTCAGTTTTTATTTATTTATTTATTTATTTATTTATTTTTTTACTAGAAAATTTCTGTTTAACTAAATATATGATGTTGCTTTGAAGTTTATTTGAACCCAAGAAATGTGACAGCCATCATCATTTTACTCACCAAGTCCAAGTGAGGAAACAAATATGGAAGATCAAGTAGCCTAACTTTGATAAATACGTAGTATATACGGAGTATTAAATTAGTATATTTAATTATTTGTATAATTGTATGAGAATTTTCTCGAAATAGGAGGTAATAGGTTTTACAATTTCAAAATATGATTGATATTTTTTTCTTTCCGAAGAATGAGTAACATGACAATTTTTACCACCATCACGACAGTAACAACTCTTATTTCGGAAATAAAAACGCAGCAGTCCGGTTTTGGAATTCTATAACATTTTTTACTTCTATTTAGCACAATGTCCCTAAACGTATCATTGTTTGGATTCCCTAAAAGTTATTCAAACCCATTTCGTTAACTTTATAAATATATAGCTTAGAAGTCATACATATAAAATTTAAAACCCCGTACAAAATAGGTTGAAATCAGCCTAAATTTAAAAAATGCATAACAATTTTGATCATTATTAAAATTGTTAATTAATAATAGATAGAATGCATTTAAAACCCATCTAATTGACCTCAGAAATAATTGATTTAAAAAATCAGTACTGATTTAATCTAATATTTTATACAATTTGAAATTTTGAAATCACTTTCATAGATATGTTCAAACAAAAAAAGTGAAACTAAATAAGATTTAACTTCCATTGGAAATCATAAATATTTTTACAAAATGATTAGAAGCTTTCATTACTAAAGAGGGAGGGAATATAGATAAACCCTTTTCCCAAAATCATAACCAAAATAGATAATCTCTCTATAGAAATTTTTCGTGATAGTTTGGTCCATAATTTAATAACTTTATTATATATGTTAATTAATGTGATTGACTACAGCCTAAAAGCAAATAAATGAATCTTAATTAGGTGTATAGTAGAAGATAAATAATTGCTAGACACCTAATTAGTAAATTTGAATTAAGTGTAATTCAACTGATTCAAAATAAATTCTTACGGTAACCGCAACATTCTCAATCAAATGCTATCACTTTTCCTGGGACAATTAACATTTATCTCAATTTTATGAATTTGATTCATTTTATATGTATATGTAGTGTAATTTGCTAACCCACCAACAAAAAAAAGTGTACCAATGTCATTTGCATATACTTCAAATTAATTAAAACAATGCACATATTTTGAATAGCTCTAAAACTTAAATAATGATAATGATAATAATAATTGTAATTGTAATAGTAATACTGTAATAGTAACAATAACAATAACAATAGCAGTAGCAGTAACAGTAATGGTAACAGTAAGAGTAAGAGTAAAACTAAGAGTAAGAGAGTAACAATAACAGTACAGTAAGAGTAAGAGTAAAAATAACAGTAACCGTAACCGTAATCGTAACAGTAACAGTAATAGTAATATTAAGAGTAACAATAATGATCAGAATAATTATCATAATAATTATCATAATACTAATCATAACAAAAACCATGATGATGATGATGATCATAATAATAATAATAATAATGAATGTTTACAAATCGTTTCTTTAAAATTATCTTTTTCAAAATATCAATAAACACATCATTTTTCAACATTAAAGATCAAAGATGTTCTTAACAAATTCTGTAAATAATTTGATCCTCTATTGATACTTATTATTTTCATTTATATCAGTGACAATACCGGGGCATGCCCCGGGTGGTACGCTAGTTTCATCAAAAACTCCACCAGAAACCACCTCAAATGGTGGCGGCCAGATGGCGGTTCCGGACAACTTTTATCATATACTTATATATTTGTGTGTGTGTCTAATCCTATATATATACACACAAACATATGAAGCAGTAGAAAATCTCCTGAGATCATTCATTAAAGGACTCTTTTCTCTCCATTTTGCATTACCAGTTGTTTTATGCTCAACTTAATGCCAGGTAATGAATGTAGACTGCTATACAGTGACTACTCACGAGCTTGAAAATGTTAAAACAAGTTTCCGGTTTCAGTCAATGATGCGAGGTACATTTGCAATGCTTGTGTGAGTTAATTAAACTTAGGGCTGAACTAGCTAGGATATTGAAATTCAATCTTTTAGAGTTATGTGTTCCAAGTTTCCTATTGCCTTGTTTAATGACCGTAACCCAATCCTGAATTTTATCATGCTATCAGAGCTATTTGTACCATCCTCAGGCTTCAACAGCCTGTCACAGTGGTCCGTGGCCTGGTCATTAGCCCTACATTGTGATCCTAGGCCCAATTACCTAAACGACTTGAAAAATACTACCTTGTGGCCAATGTATCTAAACACCCCCATAGAAAATTTCGGTGGCACGTGGTTTCTTTTAGTGTAGCTGCTGTGTTTGAGCTTCAGTTTTCGGGGAGTCAAAATTATGAGTGAACTTCTGACTAGATTTAAAATGACCTGGTTGTGCAGTTGAAGGTGTGTGTTAGAGTCCCACATCAGAAAAACCTACAGATAATGGTAGATTGGTAGTTAATGTGATGTTAGGTTGAACTAGCTAACAGGTTAGACTCATTCATTCAGTGTGATTTTACCGAAGTGGCTTATATCCTTGTTGAGCAATCCAGTCAATCTTGGATCTATGAAGGATCAACATGTTTATTAGCTATTTGGCCAGGAAGATATGTTATTGCTCACTGTTTGTTCGTTTGTTTTCCCATGGTGATTATTGTTGTCCTGTTTAATCCAGCACCGTTTCATGGGTTTGGCTTTTGGTTTGATGTGGAATTCAGCGGCCCTGCAATACTTCCATCTAACATTGACACACCTTCATCATTGGTCGAGGGTTCTATTAGTAACGGTAATGTTTCTGAGAAACAGAGAAAGAAGCGTGCTAATCCCAATGATTCCCTCGTGCTGTCTACTGCACCAGAAGACCCACCAACACATTGGCAGCAGGTGCTTCATTTAATTTATATAAATACATAACTGAGTGCTTATTGTTTCTGTACATATGATGCAAAAAACTGCATGTCAAATCTCCTTTCAAAAGGGCTATGATGATAAAAATCACCTTTTCATCCCTTGCTTGTTATACTGAGATAAATGTTGTTTCCACCATGAACTATCACGAGCTCTTGATAACCCTTTGCTTGGCAGTATTGGTTTTTTTAAAGTATACTTGATTAGGTAGGTAAACAACATGCTACAAGTTTGGATTGTTTGTTACCAATTATAGATTGAACTATATTTAGCATAACTAAACTGTCCTAGATTATGAGCTTTACTCATATATTCTATCATCATGAGCTTTACCACATGTATTTAGTTGAAAATGATATTTATATGAGTCCACTTGCACGGGAAAGAGTGGTGTCTGATGGATTTACACGGGGGCAATTCAAAATCTGTCGGCGAGAGCAGTTTCAGGGTCCTGTGGGGAACACATTGTTTTCGTTGAAAGTAGGGCTATATCCATTCTCTTCGCTGTGATTTTTAATTTTTTGCTGATGACGTTGCACGGGTGGCTGAAATAAAAGGTGATGTACGTGAAGATGGAGCGGTTGAGAGCAAGCTTTGGAAGCAAAGGGATGTTTTGCAGTTCTGGCTGGAAACACAATAAGGATGGGGTTAGAAGTCAGCACAATGTATTAATGCAAACTGGTTAAAGGAGAGGGTTATTGCTGTAGTGTTGTGTGACAAGGATGTCCCTTTAAAACTGAAGTGGATATTTTACAAGGTACCGCCTCACTCACCCAGCCTGTCTTAATACTTATCCGAGTGTTGGGCAACAAAGAAGCCGCATGAGCAAATATAGGAAATGACATAGAGGAAAATGTTGTGGTAGTCACATGTGTCTCTGCCATATTGGATAGTACACTTATGGGTTTTCCAGGCTGAGCATTGCATAAGGTCTTATACTGAGTGAAAAGGAAGAGAGGATCGCTATGATTCGGACACATACGTCACATAGATGCACGATATGAATGAGGAGAGTTTTGGTGGGTATGAGGATAGGCTGACCAAGGAGGATGTGGAATGAGCAGCTGTAGCAGGTTTGAACCTCCGATTACACGATCTCTAATAGGAGTTTGTGGAGATGCCAAATTATGATGCTTGTGACCTTATAGGATTTGGGGCTATTAGTCTTACCCCTGTACTAAACTCTTCTTTGTTATGAAACAGTAGTCAGTCCATGCAATTTTCAACGCGAATTTTCACTATGGGTCATCCGGAAACGGTCTCTCTGTGCTTTAGTACAGGGTAAGATTGCGTACATCCGACCCCCTCCCCCTTACCCCACTGTAGGTGGGAGCCTTTGCGGCACTAGGGTAATGATAATGATGATGATGAGTCTATTACCCTCTTAGCCATGTGCCCATGTCTAGGTGCTTGTTTCTGTGTTTGTTTTCATGACTTTTTGCTTAACATTTGTAATCTACTTTTTTATACTACCCATGTTATCTTTTCTTACTTGCCGAGGGTCTCATCAGAAAGAGCTCCCCTGCTGTTTGGGGTATAGGTAACGTAGGCATACATCTCACTTTCTCAGACCCTACTTTTGAGTTTTGAGTGAGATACTGGGTTTGTTTGGTCCGGTTTGCTTTCTACTTTCATTTTATATTATCATGTACGCAGTATATTTGTAAAATTATATTGTATTTGGCTATTTTAAATTTAATATGAATGAGATATATAACATTCTCATTTAATGCTCTTCTACTAGTACTTTGTGGCAACTGGCATATCTATTTTTAAGTTGTGGAATGTGGGAAAAAATCAACATGCTTCTTGCTTACTAAATTTTGCAGACATTAATATACTTCTATGATCCAATCGACGTTGAGCAAGATCAAGTTATTGAAGGCTCTTTAGAATTGTCACAAAGCAAAGAAAATGCTAGATTCATGAATGTGCACCTGAAGTACTCGTAAGTTGGAGTTAAAATCCTTCTCCATATCCAGTATGTAGGCTCATTATGCGCTATAGGGTTCTCAACAGACCTTAGAATTCAATTTCATTTTGATTTTTGATTCTTGCAGAGCGGGTGGACGCTCGTTTGTTAAAGAATCAGTGATGCGATAAGTGCCAAAAGTGGTTACCTACTTGTAGAACTGTGATGTGAAGTTTCTTCTGACTATACTTCTCAGATTAAACTTTATACAGTGCTCGGGGATGAATAAACAGCTTCATCACGATGTACCTTGCCATTGCTTGGTAATTATTTTTCCTCAATATTAGAACATTAAGAGTGTGTTATCATGTTGCGAGAATGTCTAGGATTCTGGGTTATAGTCAGGATATAGATGTCGGATTCAGGTGGATCATTATTGTTTCCGTTCATTGTTGGTTTGTATCTTGGCTTTGACCAAACAGTCCGATAGATGTAGAATTCCATTTTTCTTTTACTTTTATAGTTCTTGATGTTCTTTAAAATATTCCCCCCTTTCGGGAATGCATTCTTTCAGTTCAAGGCTGATTTGGTTTATACTCGGTTAGTGAGCATGTTCTTTAAATATTTAATTATTCTAAATAGTAGTGCCTCAATGCCCCTATGTGCGTGTGCCGGTGTGATCGGTTCTTTTACGTAATATTTGAGACTACTAGATTTGCAAATTGCAAGTATGAACACAATAACTGTTATCATATTCAAAAGTAAGTTCCTGTCCTTTATTTGGTGATTTATAACGAGATTTAATGATTAATTCTATAGATTTAATAATTAAATAAAAATAGTCATTGATTGATTCGGATTTTAATATCATTGGAATAAATTAAACTCAGCCGTACTTATATTTGAATTTTACAAATAAAGTTTTTCTTGTCCATTTTCATAGTGTATTGTACTTCAATCATCTTTTATGAGTCTTTCTTGTCCACTATCATGGTATAGCCGTATAGTTGTATGAACTAGTTTTGTGTGTATAAATCTCCATTGAACTATTCCTAAAAAATTCTCCATTAAGCTCGACTATTCTCATAACACAAGATTAATCGTGAAGTTATGTTCCTACATCCACTGATCCACGATTCCACGGATGAGATATGCCTTGCCTGCAAGTGAGAATATGAGATTGAAATCATAATGCAATAACTAAACACAAGGAATAAGAATACGTTGACTTAAAAGCAAAAACAAATAATATCACAATATCACATGCAATCATGCATTATAGAAGCATGAATGGATCTGGATTTCAATACTGAAGAATAATAATATAATCCACTAGTCTTTTTTGACAAGGATTCCTTATTTTTTCATAGGAATTGCTCACAAGGTATGAAGATAATCTACGACCTTACTTGAACAAGGTATGAAGATAATCTTTTACTTCAAAATGAACAATATTCAACCATGGAAGGAGAAGAGATGATTAAATTTTATAAAAAAGTTATTCAAAGAAACATAACTTTACGGATAGTATTATAGTAAGCCGTAAGGCAGTAAGCTTACGGATATAGGCCAGTATAATCTATAGTTTCTATACCTAATATGTGTGGACTGTCTAAAAGTGTTAAAAAGCTATGCTATTTGATTATAGGAGATAGGTTTAGGAATTTCTTCGTCTACATTGGCATTACACAACCTCTAGTTTTGGTTGGTTGTTGGGGATGATACATGTTTTTCGTACGAGATGCAAAATAAAAAATCAATTCAGCTTGATCGGTGCACGTTTTTTATGTTCATTTGAGATTATTGATTGACTGGTGACTACCATGGAGTTTGCTATCATAGTTGTGGAGCTGTTCCTACTGTTAGTTAAGGTTGACTACTTGCACTTTGATGCTTTCATATGCTGATTTCAGTGTCTTGAATTGAATAGTCTGTCTTTGATTTATCTGCCAACCCTAACTTGGATGTTTTGATTTGGCACAATGATATATGATTAAACCAAGGAAGAGAGGGATCATGATTCATGAATGGGCTTGTTGTCCATTTTGTATGTGTATTTGGCCATTTTCTCTTTCTCAATGTGCTTTCGAAAAATATTCTTAAGCAAAAACAATAACTAAATCCATTTTGAAGATGAAACTATTTAACATAATTAAATACATAGTATATTAATAAGGAGACAATTGAAATTTGAAGTGTACATACTTCATTAATTTGGAAGAAACTCATTTATTAAATATATTAATAAAGGAGGCACAATTGAAATTTTAAGTGTACATATTAATTTGGAAGAAACTCATTTATAAGGAGACATTAATTTATGAGGGTTTTCCTAAAATTTTACCAATAGAAAATTTATGGACACATATATGACTTGAGTTACTATGATATACTTTTATAATTACTATAATATAAAACGTGAATACAATTATAATCACTAATAGTTACTAACTTCAAAAAATAGTTTTAATTCATTCAAAAGTTTTAATTTAGACATTGGCTTTCAAGTTCAACTCTTCAACATTAATCATATGCTGGTTCCGAAAAATGAATTTGCAGTTGCAATAAAGGGGAACCAGTTTTTTGTAACAAAGATATACGGAGTACATAGCACAATTTTCAAAATATAATACACACTTCAACACTTGCAAAAAGTTGATCAAACAAAGTCGTTTTTTGAAGGTCCAAATAATAGATAAAATACAAATGCATCTGTTAAAATCCGGGCAAGCTTGCGAGTGTAAAAGCCTGTATGTTATTTTGTCTCAGTTTTGGTGTGAAATAATGAGTTTGAGAGTTGAGTATAATTTTTTGCTAAAATGACTGGCCTTCGAGTTTGGTACTTTTCCGGTCGCGCCAAACAAGATTATATAGCTACAATTGATGATAAAATAAAATCCATCTAAACTTTTGTATAGCAGTAAATGTTTTCTAGTGTTTTCACTCCCAGACCAAATCAGATCAAACCAGTTCAGACTTAAACAGATAAGGCCAGACTAGACTTAAACAAACCAGACCAAACAAGACTTGTATGGTTATAACATACATTTATCAGATCAGACCTGACCATTTCAGACCAAATCAGACTTAAACAGTCTGGATCAGACCAGACCAGCAAATTTCAGTCCACAAGAAAACATCCTAAATGAGGTTGGTAGTGAATCTGGAGAGACCAAAACCCTTGTCTATTTAGGAAAATGGCACCATATTAATATATGACTTGTTGTTTTTCCAAAAAAGGTACTCATCATATTAATTATCCCTATCTTAAAAAAGTAACTATGTCGTCTTGCATCCTCCATCCTCCATTCTCCCACCCACTGCCGCCCTAATGCTCGATGCCCACTTCTGCTACCACCACTACTGTCACGTTGCCACCGAAATAGTGATCACCGTATACAGTTACTATTAAAGTCTCATTAGTGACTTTGCCACAACTTTAACCAAATTAAATCGCAGCACAGAAACGCTCTAACGTCAGTCGCGATCGCTAGAGTCCTAGACGCAAACACAGGTACTCTATCCGCCGTCATTCGAACCATAGTTGTGGTCACTGGAACCTTAAGTGCAACCACTGAAACTCTACCCGCAGTCAATGAAACCTTAGCCTCCATGGCTACAGGATAAGATACACCAGATTCTTATTAATTATCCATTTCGCCAGACCTATCTCACCACAATGACTCATGACTAGTGACTTTTGTTCGCACACTATATACGGAATGTGATAGTAAGTTACTAACTATCGGCACAATCACTTATGAGCTAAACAATTATGTAGTCACTAGATTTAGATTAAACGTTTCATAGTCACTGATAGTGATGTACAACATTGAATAACTCTTAATTATATAAGTATAGTATTGGAATGGTAAATGTAATATTAAATGAAAGAAAGAAACTACGAAGTATGATTAAGGTCATTTTTAAAAAGCTCAAAGAAAGTGAAAACCACTTGTATTTGTTTTAGTAATATTTATAATAAAAGACCATTTATTTAAGAGAAATATGAAACCAATATTTTTTATTCAGGTATATAGGTCTTCAAAAAAATAGGTATATAGAAACTAAAGAAAAGTTATGTTCAATTTGAAAAATTAAAGTTTGGATTTTATAAAAAATTGACATCTAAAACAAAAGAATAAAAAAATTGATAGGTGGTAGCACGACAGTAGCGGCGACCCTCCTGGTTGTCCAGTCGGGAGTTTGATGGAGTTGAAACCTAAAGATAGAGTTTCAATGGATTGATGGGCAACTGCGAACTAGAAGCAAAGACGTACCGGAAGAAAGCTTAGACAGGGGTATATCAAACTATTGATTGTTAGTGGATCACTTTTTTGCCTTTTTTCATATTGGTCCTATATTTGTCCAATTAAAACTCACTATATTATTGGTATTGTTGAGGTTTATTCCTTCAACCCTCGGGTCCAACACGTAAGCCCAAGGATTTCGAGTGGAGTATGTGTGAGTAAACTAGCCCAACTAACAAATGAGATGAATCAAGAAACAACAAGGTAGCAAGTAAATGATTAGGTATTATTATCTCTTAATAACTCCCTAATACAATACTTTTCGCTAAGGCTCGTCGGCCGATCGTCTTACAAGGCAGTAGAAGTGCTGCGAGTAAGAATGCTATAGCTAGAGTGCTAAGAATAGAAAGTTGCCAACCCTTTACAATGAAATAAATGCTTCTATTTATACCCACCAATGGGCAGGTGGCTATACTGACGTGGAATCCTGTGGTTCGCTGGTGCCTCAACCACCAAATCTTCAGCATTAAATGCACTTCCCGTCAGAATCTAGGTTTCCCGCCTAATTAGTGGGGACGTTCGTCCGCCCGGGGAGCGAGCTGGATTGCTCCAGGTGGCCTCCAAGGGGTACTGGCCGTTCGTCTCCTGACCTTGCCCCGATTGCTATGGGCTTGCTCTGACGACGTTCGTCGTTATTCCGGTGACCCGTGGCCCTGCTCCTTGTCCCTGCATAGACGTTCGTCGAGATGGGCCGTTGAGCCTAAATTCCACCGCAGACGTTCATCCCTCCTGGAGGAACATGGGCTTGCCAGGCTAGCTTAATGATCCAGCTGGACGTACGTCCGGAATTAAGGGTAAATGGGCCGAACCTCAACTTGGGCCATTAACCCAACAGGTATCATTAATTCTAGGGGTGGGGAAAAATACCGAAATTTCTGTATACCGGACTTACCATATCGAAAAATACCGAATTTACCGAAGTGTTTGGTATACCGACACTTTTGGTACGGTATGATACCGTACCGAATTACTTCGGTATGGTATCGGTATATATTTTGGAAATAAACGGTATACCGTTATACCGTCATACCGTAATTCCAAGCCAATAATTTCTTTAAAATTATAAAAATAACTAGAAACACAACATTAATTCAAGGATAATGACTTTTTATCCATGTTTCTTGAATTATTTATACTTTTTGTTGGAGATCGATGTTATTTCAAATATATTTATGTTGTTTAAATTATTATTTTAGCAGAATGTGTTGTTATCTTCATATATCATGTGTTGAAGTATCCGTACATATTTATAATATTTTTTTGTTCAAAGTTGAATAGAACACAAATAGGTTATCATTGGTATTTTATAATTAATTTCATTAATAATTTTAGTATATCACTATTAACACTGATATTCTATATTTCATTTGATATATAATAATTTGATATTAAATCATGATAATTTACCGATACCGGAGCTTACCGTACCGAAATTTTGGTATACCGAAACAAGGTATACCGAAATTTAGGTATGGTAACGGTATGTATTTTTGCATACCGAAAGTTTACGGTATGGTAAAGGTATGTGATAAAATTTTCGGTATACCGTACCGAACCACCCCTAATTAATTCTGTATAATATCGTGATTTTTCCCCTTTGAAATATAAGATATATATCAATGTTTTCTCACTAAATAATTACTCCATCTCTCCAAATCCACAATCATGTTGCGTATTTTTAATTTGATTCATGAAAAATTGAAAAAGTTAACTTTTCTCTAGATAAAATTGTGTGTATAATTGAAAATTGAAAATTTTATATTAAGTTTACTACATCAAAAGTTGTAATGAGTTCTTATTTTTTTTGTTCTATATGATAAATACTCCGTATTTGATATGGATAATGAGAGATTATTAGGTTGACTAGTCAATACCGGATCACCATATATAACAGGCCGAGCCTAATAAAAATCAGGCCTTTGACAGTTTGACTTATATTACAGCAAGCTCAAGTCGGCCCGCTATTTTCCCTACACCCGTCCTTCAGGATACCCAGCGGCAATCAGTCATAAGACGCTAGGGAACGCTGTGAGAGACTGAGAGTCCGTCCTCTCGAAGGGAAACCGCCGTCGTCCCCATAATCCATCTTCCCCAGCAAATCAACAGAGAAAGTGCAACTGCTTTCATCTACCTTGTTCTTTCCGTATGTGTTTTTTTCCATTTCTCGTCATACTGTAATTGTGTGCGTGTCTTTTAGTTTTCAATTAGCAGTCTTAGGGTTTGCTCTTGAAAACCTGCGTGTTCTTTTCTTAACAAAACCTAAACACAATTTGGGGGAGAAGAAGTGGAGCTGTGATTTCGAAATAGTTTGAAAGTGCGGAGATCATACATGGTTCTTAATTGTCTTTTAGCGTGATACAACTCTTCGAGATTATTACTCGTCCTTATATTTTATATTTATCTCTTCCATTAAACCAAATTTAACATTTTTTAACCTGCTTAAGGCACTTCCTGACATGGAATTCAATAAATTTAGTTTTTTGTGTGGCTGAATAGGACTGTATTTGAAAAAATAAGTTTGGAATGGGCCCCATTTTCGGAACAAAGGGAGTAGTAATTCGTACTCCTTCCGTCCCATTTGAAGGTTTCTTGTGCTGTTTACTATGGTTGGCTGATGATAAGGTTAAGTCTTCATTGGTAATATATATATATGTTGGAATGAGTAATTAAAATTTACCTATCCTGAATCTATTCAATAAGTTGTATTGATAACTTTAAACTACAACAGAGGGAGTAGTAGTTTCCTATTTTTAGTATCAGTAATTAGCAATAGTTTCATATTCATATAGTATTAGATTACACACATACTCCCTACAAAGTATCCATATATAACTACATACTTCGTATTATTTTGAGTGGATTCCGAAGTTTATTGATATAAGGATTTCCGTAAGTTTAAAATCTTCATTGATATTACTTTGGATATCAATACCTGCGTTTATCAGAAGACTAGACAATTTAGCTCTGAAAACTCAAGGGCTCTTAAGTTTAGAATCTTCGTAACAAGCCTTTGCGTAAAGTATATATGGACACATGTTTCATTGTATGCGCATTTAATTAATTAAAATTTACTGGGCCTCTTTTAAGTTACACACACAGTAAAAAGAATCAAATAAGAAAAACCCGCCTCAAAGAAATGCCTTGTGGCATGCCTCAAGGCGTACACCATGACTTTTGAGGCGTAAGCCTCTTATCCTCCCAAAAAACTTAACCCTCAATACCTGGTCTCTGTCAAGGTTCGAAATTGCATATTGCATAGTCGTGGCATTTTTTTAATATTGCGTATTGCGTAAGCCTCATTGCACAATGAGGCGTAGACCTGAGACGTAATACACACACACACACACACAATCTTCCGTATCATAATAGTTGCAACATTGGAATTTACACACTATTCATGTACTCTACTTTGACTACATTTTATTTATTAATGTATGTGAATTATTATTTTTTAAAAATATTGTTGGATTCATCTCATTACGAAGTTTTATAATCATTTTTTTTAAAATTTTTTTTACTAATAGAGAATTAAATATAATGATGGTCAAAGTTGTGCATTGGCAAACATGAAAAAGGGAATGTTGCAACTAAAAAAGCACGGAGGAAGTATATGTGTGTGTGTGTGTTTGTGTTTATACACACAATTTAAAATCAAGAGAAGTACTCATCACAAGCCATCAAATGTAATATAAAACTAAATTATATTGCTAGAGACGCTACACATTGAGGCACGCCCTGAAACCCACCTCTTAACTGCCTTTTTAAACCATCTACTTTGAACATACAATTTTGATGGGTTTCTGACCTCATTTGGGTTGGACTTGATTAAGGTATTGTTTCTTTGTAATGATAATTATGTTTTATTTTTAATACATTCATTGTAATTATATATATAAATGTCTGTTAAAAACTGAGGCTTGCGCCTCATTGCACGATGAGGCATACACAATTGGCAATGTTAAGAAACTGTCTCATATATGCAAGACACAATTTTGAACATTGATGCCACCGACGATGATCTCTCCTTTGGGTTCCGCCTGCCCCAATTATGGGTTCCACCGGACGCACCAACATCTTTGGTCTTCTCAAATCTTGCTGAGCGATCAAGAAAGATAGAGGAAATGCTGACAAAAGAGAAAAACAAAAAGCATGTATTTTGGCTCTCTGCCTGCACAGAAACCTTACGGTTTTATTAATGTAAATGTTTAATTGTTTACAATCTGACGACTTGATCTCATATGCTAATAAAGTGACTGTGCATGTTAAATATAGCCACAAAGGTGAAAAGTAGTCTTATTGGGTCAGGAATAAAAAAATATTGGTAGAAGAACCTAGGCGTATGCCTCCGTCTCAAATTCTCCATCTCAGAACCGGCGCCTCAAGCATGTGACGTGCCATTTTTCCAACACAGAGAGGCTTAAGATTTATAGTATGTGCCTTAAGGTGTGCGCCTCAAACACCTTATAAAACATGAATAGATTGGGATTATTCACTTTCTCATCAATATTTTTTTGAGTTGAGTAGTGTAAATAGAAGTGGACAAATTTAAGTTTCTGAGTTGGTTTCAAGATGAGATTCATTTGTGGTCTATGAAAGTGTCATATCCCAACCATTTTGGAGTTCACAAATAAATTTGCTTGCAGTGTTTCTGTACCCTGTTTCATTTTCAGGGTCTTTTGTAGTGCGTGGAACACCATTTTATGTCATGGTGTCGTGAGGTTCCGATTTTTCTTATTCATTCTTCTTTGCATGTATAGATGCTCAAGTAAGGCTCATTGGTGACTAAATTTCTAAATGGTCCAGGCTTAGGTACCTAGAGGTCTTTTGCACATTTTCTTCATTTTTGATGATCTAAATTTTAAAGGTGCTGGTCGAAAGTTGGAACATACATGTGCTCTATGTTCAAATTTAAAAAAAAAACATTTTGTTCTATGTTAATTATCATGTCGAGAGAGTTAGGTGTCATACTGCCATCCTTAAGATTTGTCTTTCACTTTTTTTTAAAATCTTTCTAACTATATAAGTTCATCTTGATATACACCTGTTTTTATACAATAAAAAGCTATGTGTCTCGTGCAGTGATTTGAGTGGCCATGGCTGAGACAGATGTAGTCACTTTAATGGATGCCATTCCTATGCTGATTGAACAGTTGAGCAAGGCATTCTCTGAGCTGGAGTCTCATGAGGATGTTAGCATAGACAAAGGACAGCTATTAGAAATACAGGAGCATTTCAGGAAACTTGAGGAAATGATGGTGCACAAGTATATGGAGTTAGATATTAGAGAGACGGCATTCTTACATCAAGAAACTGATGCTCATAAGCTGGTCAATTCACAGAAGGCAGAATTTTATAGAATGGAACAAGATATGCTGGATCGTATACAAAAACTGAAAGATGCTGCTGCCTCTGCTATTACTGAAGCATTGGCAAACCATAAACTGACATCGTTTGATCCTGTGGATGCTGGGGACAGCGAAGACAGCCAGGTAAGCAGCCCTCTTGGTGACTCAAATGTATTCGATACTGGCTCAGAAGTTAAATCACCACCTCGTGGAACTGGTGAAAATATTGATGTTGTTAATCCTCGACCAGAACTTATGCAAATCTGTGAACAGATGGATGCAAAAGGGCTTCTGAATTTTATCAAGGAGAACCAAAACAACATACCTTTGATTTGTGGTGAAGTTGCCCTTGCACTTAAATGTGCATCTGAACCAGGCCGTTTGGTGCTGGCTTCACTAGAGGGCTTCTACCCACCCGATGATACTAATGAAAATGGTGAGAAAAACACCGATACAATCCGTGACATGCGTCGCTCCTGCCTTGTGTGCATAAAAGCCATGGCCACCTTTTTGGCAAAGGCTGATCTGGATTCTGATTGCATCCTGTCCCCTGAAATTAGGCAGCAAGCCAAATCTGTTGCTGATGAATGGAAGCCTAATCTGGCTAATGCCGGCACTTGTTCTGCCAGTGAGAATTCATTGGAAACTGAGGCATTTTTGCAGCTTCTTGCAACTTATAGGATTGCTTCAGAGTTTGATGAAGAAGAACTCTGCAAGCTTGTTCTTGTAGGTGCTCACAAAAGGCCGGGGCCTGAGCTCTGCCGTTCTCTTGGCTTAACACACAAAATTTCAGGTTGGTGTTCTTTTAGCTAACCTGATAGTGTCAAGAGGACTGACTGTATTTTCCACTCCCCTTTACACCAAATAATCTGAGACCTTCTAGTATCTGTTTCTTTAGGAAAGGATTTCTGAATGTTGCTATGTTATGTGCATTGTTCCAAGTCACATCTCACTCTTGTCATATCCTGTTTGTTACTTAATCGTCCATTTATTTCTTGTAGGTGTAGTCAAAGCATTGATCAATAGTGGGAAACAAATCGATGCTGCCCATTTTATACAAGCTTTTAAGCTTACTGACAAATTTCCTACTGCTCAACTTTTGAAAGCACATTTAAAAGACCTCAGAAGGAGTTTACAAGGAAAGGGTGCCAGCTCAGGGAATGCAGAGGTATTGATGTTTTCACATTACTGCTTGCTTATCATTCATCTGTATAACCATGTTGCATTCCTTGTAAGATAAACTATAACTCAGTTCTTCCCATTGTTTAAAATGGTGTATTGCGTGGTTGAGGCAGATTGTGTTTCTACTTGATACGAACACAGAAGAACTAAACTCGCACACAATCCAATACAACGTTTAGTGTATAGATTCATCAAACTAGCATTACAACTGCGATTAATAGAGATAAACAGTATGAAAGGAAAAGAACAAAGTTGAGATCTCTTCCTGAGGATCTCTCTCTTCAAATTCTAACAAACTTCTGGACAGCCTTCTCTTTCTTCCTATCTGCTCTTTTATTCTCTTCCCACGCATACCGCAGTCCACATCAGCCTATCCGTTATTCTCAGCCTCCGCTCCCCTGATTTGTTTCTTTACCTTATTACCCCTCCTTTCATAAACTCTAGTGAAATCTTTATTGATATTAATAGAAAATTATTTCAGGCTCGTATCACTACTCCCCAAAACTGCCAAAAGAGTGGGGGCAAGGCTTCTAAAATCGATCATCTAGTGTTACATCCAATTTACTTTTACTGCTTGCTGATGTTGCTCTGTATTTACCCCTAACTGTATGTCACCTAAAACTGCCCAAAAAAATCCCCTAACTGATGTTGCTCCGTATTTACCCCTAACTGTATGCCACCTAAAAAAATTGAATGTTTAAATCTGTCTGCGATGTATTCTTTCCTATTCAGAATGACTTATTTCCTTTGATACCCTATACTAACAGGATGTGTGTTCTGTTCATGATATGATCTTAGTTTTAAAAAGCGTGCATCAGGTTCGCCCGAGGAGCAATAAAAATATCGCATCAGAAAAGCTGGGCGCAGCAGATTACCGAGAGAGAATACTTTCCTCCCCCCTTTTCTCACATGATGAGGCATACACCTCATCCGACTCTGGTATTGAGTTTCGTCGCATAAGTGTCCTGCAGCTGTCTAAGTGTCCTGTGTCTTTACAGTTCTCTTCTGTGTATCATATAAATAAGTGGTCATGCACATCTCAGAGTCCAACTCAATCTCTCCTTTATGAGTAAAACATTCTTCCGGTCTTCCCCTTATTCTTATGAAAGGAACATTCTCCTTTCATATCAAGATAATTTGAAAATATAAACTTAACAGAAAATATACTTCGTAAGTTTTATAAATCAAGCTCAGAATTGGGAAAACATTTTTTTACATAAAATAATACTGTTAAGATATAGCGAATCTTATAAATAAAAGAATGATTATGTCATGTGATAGTTTTATGATTTCTTGTTAGGGTGCAAGCACATTCTCTACAGTATAACACAATAACTGCTATAACACTTGTTAAAAGATTATTAATGATTTTTTTTAAAGAAACAAAGCTTTATAAAACAGGTCTGAGAGAGCGAAGAGTGGATTTTAAATATTTAATATTTCATGACAGAGTTCTTATGTTTAATAAAAAGGTTCCTGCACATGGGGCACTTTATGCATCTCCGAATATGGCATAAACTCATCTGTAGGATTTACTCTCTTGTTAGATTAAGAGGTAAGCTGTTGCCATGTTCATTATAGATCCTGAGTATTGTCCTATGTCCTTAGCCACATTTGAGTGGATATGGTTGGAGTATTTATTTAAGGAATGTCAATTTAATATAACAACATAGATGGAGCAGATATATGCCTATCAGACAACACTTCACATAGCTTCAAATACCATTTTTCAATTTGAGAGGACTAAACAATATGGAATTGATTGTCACTGTTTGAAAAAAGATTCCATCACGAAGAATATAACACTATTTGTCAATTTTGGTTCTGATGGGTCCTAGAAATGATTACAAACCAACTGTGGCATATGTATTGTATATGCTCTGGCTTTAGAGGGATAGTGTAACAATATTATATGAAGTCATTCATAAATTCTTCAACTACTTAGGCTTTGACAGCCACCAAGCCTTGCCTGTGTATTAAGTGCCAAAAAAAATCCATTCTGTATTAAGCCTTTCTAGTAGTTTCTACTATTTTCAACCTATCACTTAAGCCCTTGCACTAAAAAAGGATCATATAAGTATGCTTACTTTAAAAAATTGATCAATTTGGCCATTTATTCAGTTTTTGACCTGTAATAGCAGTTTAAAAAACTCTAAAAAATTGTTAAAGTTTGAAGAAATATAGATTAAAATTTTGAAAAATTTCTGAATGTTAATTTTGAATTTTCGAATTTATTTGTATATTCTGCATCTATTTAAAAGGTTTTTACATTTTCTATTTTAAAATTTTTCATTTTCACTTTACTTTTTCAGTTTTCTGTTTTTATTTTATTTTATTTTATTTTATTTTTATTTCAACTTTTTTTAAATTATTTATCTGTTTTTACAATTATTCTATTTTTTTATATTATTATCACATTATTTTTCAAATTTGTATGAATTTTCATGAGATTTATCAATAGTCCTTTTTTTTAAAAAAAAATAACCTGCTATAGCAGGTCAGAATGGCTCGACTGATTGTATTTAAAAAGTAAGCTGACTTATATGATGCTTTTTAGTAAAAGGGCTGAAGTGATGGATTGGAAATAATAGAAGGGAAAAATTGATAGTAATAATCCCAACTATTGGCGGTCCGCTCATAATAATCCCAACTATCGTTTATTTCAGAATAATCCCAACTTTAAGGACTTTCTGCCAATAATGGTCCAACGTGACCGACTATAAATAAATTTCTATAGTTTCTAAAGTGGATGAGAAGAGATATAGCAGGTAATCCCTATAAATAATCCCAACTTTTAATTTTTACGCTTAATTTCCATTAAAAATCACCTGTTATAGCAGGTAATATCCGGTCATGGACTATTATTGGCGGAGTGTCCATATAGTTAGTATTATACAAAAAGAATCAATAGTTAGGATTTTTGTTAGCAAATAATTGGGATTATTATTTTCAATTTTTCCTAATAGAAGTGTGTATTTGACCCTTTTCCCAACAATAAATCTTGAATCGTGATCAATAATCACAATCTACTCCCATCCCAAAATCTTGCATCTTTACAACTTTTCATGCAGCAAATAAGCTCCAAAATAGGGTGAGACACAAGCAGTCAAGCACTAATGGGGATAAAGAAGAAATGAAAAATACCAGTGTCCAAAGAAAAGACCTACTTTAAAAATTTCCATTTTAAAAGTCAGCTCTAGGTTTGAAAAGCAAAATTTATGTCTTCAAGAAGCAAGCAATTATGATAAATTACACCTAATAATTTGGAAATAAGTCTGAGGGATATAAGTGGCCATTGATAACTTGTAAAAGTTTGTACTTTGATTGAATTGACTAAAAATACAAAAGTCAACCCTTATTCCAGGTTAAATGTGAAGGAAGGGAACATTGTTTTTCATTCATATGTGTGTGGGTGTTTGTGTATGACTAAGTGTTGCTTTTCTCTCATGCACAGACTAGTGGAAATGCTCAAGAACTTGCTGCACTTAAGGGTATAGTTGAGTGTGTTCAAGAATACAATCTTGAAGCAGAGTACCCACTTGCTGCACTCCTCAGAAGGGTTGCTCAACTGGAATCTGCAAGAAATAATAATAATAACAGTAATAATAGTAACAACAGCAATACTAATATTAATAGTAATCATAATAGTAGTAGTACTAGTAACAGTAATAGTAAGAAGAGGTTTGCTGAATCTGAAAGTAGATCACGGAATCCTAAAAAGCCCAAAGCGAATGGGAGGGGCCACATTGGCTCTAGTGCTACTGTTAGGGGATCTGCTGCCTCCAACCGTGGTCGGCAGTCTCCTTCTGGATTGGTTGGGAGGAGGGCAGTGGGTTATGGAGGACCGTCAGAGAGATATCCTCCTTCTTCTGCATATGATTATCGGCAACCTTCAAGTTCAACACCATACAACCAACCACAACAAGAAGCCGCCTATGACCCGAGAGCGCATCATTACCCCCCTCCAGATGAAAGGGCTGCCCCAGCTCTGTACACTGCTTCTGGATATAACTATGGAGGCATATCATCGCTTGGCACTCCACGCCATCAACCATAAGCATTAATAAATGAGTTTGAACAGGTTCCTTTTTTTGTTGCTTTGAGAGGTTTGCCACCAGCCTGCTATGTTTTTTGCTGTGATGACCATTTAATATCTCATTTTGAATAATTTCCGCATGTAATGTATGGTTCTCTGCTCAGCTCAGCAGCTGTAGGCTACACTTCACTTCTTGGCTGGCGATTGGCATATGCCCAACTCTTAGATTTACTAGAATAGTACGAAGTATTGTTATTTATTTATTTCTTGACTTGAAAAGAAAACGTTCCAAGAACTAATCCGAGTATTTTACCTAGCGCTTTACTTCTAGGCCTTTAAAAGGTTTGTACTTGACTACTTGCTAAAGATTATCTGTTGGTTCATTTATTAAGGTGTATTATTCAAAATAAAGAAACTATGTGTGCAGGTTAGTCATGGACTCGGGCCCGGGCCGGGCAAAAAAAATTTCAGTGAAGCCCGGGACTGGCCCGGATGTTGACCGGTGCCGGTCCGGGACCGGGCTGGTCCGGGTCCGGTTCTATTTTGTTTTTTGTTTTCTTGATTTTTTCATCGCCTACCAAAAAAAAAGAGAAAAATATATAAAACAGGCTCGAACTAGGCCTGGCCGGGCCGATTCACATTTTAGCATACCCGGAACCGGCCCAGGTGTCATCCCTAAACCGGTCCTAGACCCGGAATTGGTACCCGGTTCTCGGGCTGGGCCGGTTCACGGGTCGGATGGCCCGCACTGAGTCCAACACTAGTGCAGGTTGGGGTTGACCTGGGCAGGGCTGGTTCTGGAATATGGTTATTCTTGCACAGACACGACGTTATTTAATAATTACCTTACATTCAAGTTGCTACAATTATGTAATTGATGTAGAATAATCATGTAAATATTAGTGGTGGACCGGTTTTGGGTCGACCGGCCTGTGGCCCGGCCCGGACTGGCACTGTTTGGAACCGGCTCGGCCCGGTGGCCCGGCTAGAGACTGTTCCGGGTAGGCTCGGCCAGAGACCGGTCTGGGTAGGCCCGGCCTGAGGGTTATACAGGTCGGTCTCAGGTCACCCAAAATAGGAACTGGCCCGGCCGGGCCGATTCAGGCCTTTTTTTTTCAATTTTTTTGGGGGTAATTTGAGTTTGCACCCCATTTTTTTGTGCAAATTGGACTTTGCACCCCGTGTTAAAAAATTTTGTTTTTGCACCCCCAACCTCATATGAAAAGACAAAATTGCCCCTCCATTAACGAATTTGCTGGCTTTCAACATATTCATGATCGAGGGCATTTTTGTCTTTTTATACGGGATTGGGGTGCAAAAACAAAGAGTTTTAAAAATAGGATGCAAAGTCCAATTTGGACAATAAAATGAGGTGCAAACTCAAATTACCCTTTTTTAAACTCTTTGAAGTAAACATGATCTTACAACATTTCTTATTGTATGTCCTAAAGTTTACTTGTAAAAATAAGAACTTTAAATGAAAGTTTGTTATCCATTTAAGAGAGGTTATAGTTTGGGGTGCATCATTTGTGTAATTGTGTGCATGCAAAGAGTGCAGCCTTGTCCTAAACAATGGTCATCCATCGCAAAATATTAAAAAACGAGATAAAACACTTTGTCAAAGTGTAGTTGTAATGATGAAAAACGGCGCAAAACATGACGTCACACTTTTAAAAAACGATAAAATTCAATGGCAGAGTAGTCATTTGAGTAAACAATGTCAAAATCTAACGGGCATCATTTATTCATTTACTAAACAAAAGTGCACCATTGAATGCATTATAATGCCTTTGTACATCCAATGTCTAAAAACAGATATGCATCTTTAAAAGGTGGTGACAATTTTGCAAATGTATCAAATATTTGTTACTAAGTGGTGACACTTTTTGAAATTACAATGTGCATCACAGAAGGTCAGAAGGATACTAAGAGCATCTTTAATAGTGATGTGGATGGTATTATATAAAAACTAGACATGTCACATTTTTAGGCTCCAAAGGGATGGTGGATTTAAGCAATTTATTTCCTATTTATACGCATGAGAAGACGCACGACCTGAAAAAAGTTGCACTGTTTTCTTTTCCAACCATATAATCTAGAAAAAATAGTTGCATGCCTTTATTTCTCTCTCAAAACATCCACAGGTTTAATATAATCTAGCTCATAATTTAATGTTTTATAAACAATCGTACATGGATTGTCGTTGAACATGGGCAATGGTTGGGGTTTAATTTGTGTTTAAGGGATTGTTGTTAAATCGAGTGATGCAAACACATCATCAATGATGATGAGCGCCAGTTTCTAACTCCCATATATTGAAAAAGTCAATTAGGCCCTCGTACTTTACAAACACTCAATTAAGTCCCCGAACTATTAAAAAACGTTCAATTAAGCCCTTTCGGTCAGTAAGTATCCGGTTTCCCGGTTAAATGTAACTCGTTTCCCGGAAGCCACCGTTGCTAGGGTTCGAGCACATCGTCGCCGTTTAACCGGGAAACCAGTTACTTACCGACCAAAAGGGTTTAATTGAACGTTTTTTAATAGTTCGAGAACTTAATTGAATGTTTGTAAAGTACGAGGGCCTAATCGACTTTTTCGGCATAGTACGGGGCTTATTTGATAGTTTTCCCTTTAATTAATGTACTCAACGTTAGTTAAAGAAATTGATGAGTCAGCCTGTCAATGCGCTCTATTTATCTGATGTGGTAATGCATTTTTAAGCAATCCATGTTCCCATTAAAGATGCTCTAAGTGTACCCAAAATGGAATTACAAAGCACTCAAAAAGTCAAAAGCTTTAAGCGGTCCCTATTAAATTTCATATGTTCACGGTCAAGCCAACACACATTTAATTAAAGTTAAATTCATAGTTAAAAATGTAACTACAATTAGTATGAGTGTACTAACAATATCTTAACAATGCGAAAGTGGTCATAATCATACTTGTTAAAAGTTACCAATATAGTCACTCCATAAATGAATAAATAATATTGGACGGTATTTTATCCATTATCTTTATTTCAGTAATGAATAAATAAATCATTATTTCATCTTTATATTCTTGGGATACATCACAACAAAAATGAAACTCAAGAAGAATATTATTCATCTTAAATAAATAAATTATTATTTCATCTTTATGTTCCAACTCGGAAGCATCTTTTGAAAGAATATTCCGGATTGGGTTTCAAGAATTGTAAAACCCTTCTCAGTGTCTTTTTTTTACCCTTCTATTCCAATCTATTGTTAATTGGTTAACAAACTAATCGTCTTGAGCAGGACCTTGCAATCTTGCTGCCCCTCCTGTCATATAATGTCACCTTTAATGACTTTGACGTAACTTCTTAATCACCCTAAACCACAACGTAATATAGAGCAAGAGAACGAATGAGCAGAAGTCCCTAAAGCAATGATTGAAAATTAACATAAGACAATGACCCAATATTACGCAAATCCATCCATTTGGACTAAATTTTGATCATTCAATTTAAGATCAAACAGGTATGATCTTTCGGGATATATACGGGTTGGATTGAAATTTGGACGTATTTAGCTCTACTTAAAAAAAGAGTATGTTTGATTGGTTAATGGGCAAGACAAATGACAATTCAAAAAGCCTCGCGTACAAGTACACAAAAACAGCAAGTACAGCCCTTTAAGATGAGCGAAACTTAGCTAATTTAAGAGAGCAGAGACCCAAAGAAGGACCCAAAAGCCTTTCCACTGCCTCAAGAAATGCACAAACTAGGTGAGATTGTCACGTGGCTCAATCACCAAACTATGTGTTTCCCTATCGTAAACGCCTAGAAATGTAACATGTATGTGCTCGATAATCAAACAAAGGAAGCAATCTTAGTGCCAAAGGAAAAGTGATTTCAGTGTTTCGAACAGTCTGAGAAGAAATGTAATTTTAAGTAGCAGCACCTACTAATTTTAAGATGTACTAGTATAAGAGTCCAAAGCTGGAGAAACGCAAATCTACTATCTGCTTATAGTTGGACAATGGGTGGCAAGAGTCGGAATCATTGTATTATATAATGAGGATATAATAAAGACATAAAAGAAAAAAGACAGACAGCAGAATATGAAACAAAAGAATCAGTACAGGTCTGTTCAAATGGGAGTTTTTTGTGATCATAATGTGTCTCTAAGACGGGCATATTATACGGATAAACATGTTGGGGTTTAGAAAAATATGACATGAAGGACTGAAGGAGACGAGTGCGACACAGAAACATAGGTTAGAAGATGCTTGTAAATATTACTCTGTAAGAATTGGAGTTTTATTTTAAAAAGATAACATGATAGACCATTATAACTAAGCATCTTATATGTTGCCTTATTATTTTGTATTTAAGTGATACAAGACAAATACTTAAACAACATAGTTTGTATGATGAGATCCTGGGACAAGTGGGAGCAGCAACTACTTTATGATATCTAAATAAGAGGGAAGGGGAATGATAGAGAACTTTTTTCAATGACTTGGACATGACGTTGAAAGGTAGGCGCTGCAATATAACAAAAAAGGAATGTCAGGTATAACTGTATAAGTATAGCAAAATACAGCATGAACTGAAGGGGTTTAGAAGGACTATCCTAATGTCTTATATATCATACTACGTATATGTCAATTTGTAATTTCACATTTGATCGATGTAAGACAACTTTTTCAACAATCAATATACTGGGACTAAATGATTACATGCCATCATTTAGAAAAATGAGTTGGGATGATGTGAGCATGTCTCAGTGAGGGCCTGTACAAAATATATTTGGAGAAGTACTATGGAAGAATCTTATATATTATGTAGTATATTATCGAGGGATTAAACTTATGAGTCACAACATGAAACTTTAGGAGCGACTAGTTCAACAAAGACTCCGAAAAAGTGTGAAAATTTCGGAGAATCAGTTTGGTGGTTTTATGCATGGGCACTAGATAAGTTGTGGAGAAGTATATAGACGCTAAAAAAGATCCGCATTTGGTGTTTATTGACTTAAAAAAAGCATATGATAGGTACCTCGAGAAAATGCATATCATATAAATATATCAGTATCATCATAGATATGTACGCGGCTTGTGATACAAGTGTCCGTACTAGTGTAGGGAGGATTGCAGAGTTCCCTATTACTATCGGAGTGCACCAAGGATCGGTTCTGAGTCCTTTCTTATTTGTTATAAGTTATAGTCATGGATGAACTTATGAAGTCAATCCAAAAAGATATACTGTGGTGCAAGATGTTTGCCAACGATATTGTATTGATCGATGAGACACAATCATGTGTTAAAGCAAAGTTGGAAGTATGACGACAAACGTTGGAGACCAAGGGTTTTAGACTGAGAAAAAGCAAGGCCGAGTATATGGGGTGCAAGTTTGGTGGAGATAGAAGTAGTACCAACAGTGAGATTACC